AATTTATCAAAAAATATGAATATCTTCTTGATTTACATGTGCATACTTTTCCAAGATATTTACAAATTTGTATGTATTCGAAGATGATTCATCATAAATTGACTAGTTTTACACTGTTCGTCATAAGGGGTGTGTTACACTATAGATCAACATAAACTAGTCAAGTCATGATGAATCCTCACAATACATACAAAATTTTAACTGTCCCCAACTTTCTTGGGATTGAGGCATAGTTATTGTACTTATTTTAGGTACAAAGACATTTACAACTTAGGATTGAAGCACAAGGCAAGTATTTACAATCAGTTTTAAGAAAAGCACAAGAGACACTAGCAGGATATGGTACTTCTTCAGGAGTTGAACATGCTAAAGCTGAACTCTCACAATTAGTTTCAATGGTTAACATGGGATGTTGTCCAAGTTCTTCATTATCAGTCATAACAGAAATCGATTGTTCAATCTCGAAAGACACAGAGAATAAAACATTGAAAGAAGGAATCTTGTGTTCGATTGAAAGTTCGTTAACATCTTCTGAGAGCTCAGCAAGAAAGGATATTTGTGGACTTTCATTGAATCAAGAAACTAAAGGGAAAAAAAGAAGTAGACATAATATTTGTGGTGATGAACAATCATCTGGTAAAAGATATTTGGAGACAATTGATTTGAACAGAAAATGTCCAGATGAGTATGATGAAAATGTTACAAAAGTTATAGACTTGAATGAGTATAGTTAGTATTGTATTTATTTTTATTCTCTATAAAAGTCATTGATTCTTATAGCTAGTAATGTTGTTTATAGAAAAAATACTAATAATAATATGTATATTGTTTTGTGAATGAAACTTAAGAGAACTTTCCAAAGTATATTCATTTTGATTGGTATTGGATATAATGAGCACAAATTCACAAGTAACAACTCTGTTTTCCCTGTTTCACATTTACTAGAAGTACATCAATCTATTCCATTGCAGAGAATGAGTCCAATAACATATGGTTAATTTGATAACAACATTTGAGTATAATCTCACAAGTAGGGCCTGGGGAGGGTAAAGTGTATGCAGACTTTATTCCTACTTTGTAGAGATAGAGGGGTTGTTTCTAATAGACCCTCAGCATAAATAAAGCATTCTAAATAGTTTGAGAAAAGGGGTTATAATATGAAAGCAATAACAACAACGAAATAATGCGAAATAGCGAGCATTACACAATAAACATAACATCAACAACAACAAAAGAAAAAGTGAAAACTCACAAGTGAAGTCTCGGGAGGATAAATTGTACGCAACCTTAATTCTATTTTTATGGGGTAGAAAGGTTGTTTCTGATTGACCCTCGGCAACCATCCATCTTTATCCAGACTTGAAACCGACAATGTGAACGAGCTCAGACATGCCAAGTTAGATAGTCAATTTGATTTATGAAAAAAATGAATATGATGTTGAAAGATTATTCAAAGTGAAGTTCTTCTACCATAGGTGCAAAACAACTCAAGAGAATATGTGTAGATAAATGGCATCTCTTTTTTAGTTTTTCTTTTCTTTTCTTGTGATACCATATTCTAACTCAGGTGCATATGAGCTGCTAAACTTGGAGAATCTATATGTTCTAGGAATCCCATTTTTTGTTATGCTTTTCTAAAGATGCAAGCAAGGAACTTGAACTACACCAAAAAGGAATATTTATTTGTTTTAGAAATCAATACAAATGAATAATAGTACTATAGAGCAAACAAGGAAAATAGAAAATGCTTAGGACAGCTTTCTTAATTAGTGAGGGTATAAATCTCCCGAGGAATTTTAAGTTATATGCATCCACAATATAAGAAAATAATTACACTATCATTGTAGTTTAATGTGTTTGTCACTTATCAAATATTGTCATGTGAACAATTTTAACCATGTATTAGTAATTCTTTCTTTCTTTGAAAGGATTTATTAGAAACAGTTTATCTACCTTTGTAAGATAGGCATAAGGTTGCGTACACATCATCTTCTTCAGACCCCACGTGTGGAATTGCAGTGAGTATATTGTTGTTGTTGTAATAGAGTACTCTTTCTTTGTTACTTTAATAATGGAAAAAATATAAAACTTGAACCAAAAATCAGGTTAGGATGGTGAGAAGGAAGAAAATGGAACTCAATACTAAAACACATGAGAATATTTGAAAAGTGGTATACAAAATTAAGCAAGAGGCCATAGGCTACTGATCAAGTTTTAAGTGGAAAAAACTATATATTAACACAAAAGTTTTTGAAAATTAGCTTTTGTACTAAATTTGGAGGTTCAATTTTGATCTCCCAGTGCAACCTAAATTAGTGCAAGGTTTAGCCTCACAACTCTCCTAGAGTGGGTGAGAAGTCAAAATTAATCTTATAAGATAGATTTATACAAAACAAAGAGGATGTATATATTTCTAAATGTGGGGATAGAATATGGAAAATTAGATCTCTCTATAAATAAAAACTAAATGAATAGTGGTTTGCCTCAAGTTTGATAAACAAGAGAGATTTATCTATAATTTAATTATAAGGAAGATGATTGTGTTCCGTTAAAATAAGTGATACATGATTCAATAAATGAGGTCGTTGCTTTCTTAATTAAAAATCTCAAATTTAATTAAGATTTCATAAGAATTCCCCCACCCCCCTCCCTCCCCGAATGAGACAGGTTGTTCTTGTTTTAATTAAAGGTCTCAAGTTTGATAAAAAGACTTCCCTACATGAAACCATACCCAACTCGAATTAACAAAGGGGAAAATGATTGTATAAATAAGTATCTTTTCTTCTATCTACATATTGTTTCATTTCATGATTTATCATATTGCATTTAATTGTATCATTTGAATAAATATTTGAATGAATTTTATTTTTTTTAATTACTATATAATATCATACATTATAACACGAAAAATAGTCCTAGAAAATAAGATACGAAACAGAATTATGATTAAAAAAAATAGGTTAAAAGATAAAAACAAATAAAATAGTAAGTAACTAAATAACAAATAAAAATAAACCTCCATTTTACCATATTCAACAAACAACAAAATGTGGCTCTGTACAATAACATTATTCTTAAAAAAAAACTGCAAATTTTGAACAAAAAAATTAAAAGTTGCTTTTAAGCTTCTGATGCATGATCATTTTCAGAACTAAAATTAGCTGAAACTGTTTGGTTATTATGATTTTCTGAACTTGAAAAACTCATCCAAATCTCTCTCCTCCTTCCTCGATTTTTTGATTCACCATTTTCTTCAGGCATTTTATACCTACAAATCGGACACGACCCATGAATCTTCAACCATTTTTCAATACAATCTCCATGAAATCTATGCTTACAAGGCATTTCTTTCACTACCCCACCAATTACCCAATCATCCAAACATATAGAGCACTCCCCTTTTTCTCCTTCTTCGCAAATCTCAACACTTGTAAGTGCATCAATTGATGCTTTGGAAGCTGGGGGTTGACCCTCTTTGCTCATCAATTCGTTCAGAAATGAATCTAAGGTTGTAGATGAACGGGTTTCCATTACGATCATGTTTTGGGTTAACGGGTTTACGAGGATGATCCGATCAGAAAATCCAGATGGGGTTGTTGATTCATCTGTTTCCTCATCTGGGTTGGATGAATCTTGAACTGAATTTGATGAAATTGGATTGTTCGTGATGGATAAAATGAAAGGTAAAAACAAAGAAAGGTCTATGTTTCTGGAATTCATCAAATTCTCCATCAACGATGATGCCGATTCTGATTCTGAAGCCATTAAATTAAGAATTTAGAGAGAAATTTGGAGAAGAAGATTCATAATAGAAAGTTAATGGTTGCAGAGGACTGAAGATATAATGGAGGCAAAGAAGCACACAGAAAGTTGTAGAAGATTCTGGAATTATGTAGACAGTTAACTGTGGTGGTTGAATTTTATGATTTGATTAATTTAATTAATTAATTAGTGTTTATCCTTTTGAGATAGATGGCAGATATTTTTGAGGGATTTGATCTAATACTAGTGAGTCTTTACTTTCATTCTGTGGTCTAGCACCATTGAACTTGTCAACTTGTAAATATTAGTGTTTTAAAAGGGCAGTTTTGGAAATTGCTTGGGGCGGGGCACTGGCAAAACGTAATGAGATTCATGGGGTTTAGTTTTGTGATTTGATTGAATGTTTTAAGCCCGTCTAATAGTCAATGCTCCAGATTTTCCTAATTGTTAACGTAATGAGATTCATGTCTGGGGTTTAGTTTTGTAATTTGATTGTATGCTTTAAACACGTCTAACGGTCAATGCTCAAAGTTTACCTAACTGTTTTTGTACAAATTATGTGTCAAATTACTCAATAGTCAATAATATTATTAGTTTAAATGCAATATTTATTTCTATTGTTAATTCAATTGTATTACTATATCATATTGTTTTAAAACCACAGTTAGGTAACAAAGAAAAATCTCATTTTGTGTAACGATCGATTTAGTGGGATTGTGTTGTTACATTAATATTTTTCTTCTCATTTTGGCAAGTCACTTATTATTTAATAATTCTATTTTATCTTTCACTCTACCTTTTTCATTGTAGCTTTATCCATACCCTATTTTTCTTATAAGTTTCTCATTCAAATTATTAATTCGTAACATTATGTAAATTCAATACCCTTGTCCATGTGCTATAGTTTTATCTTTCTTTTTTGATAATTTTTTAATTCAAAATTTTCAATTAATAGACATGTTAAAGAATTAAGAGCATTAAAAATAATTTTTAGTATATTCTACATGCATTTAAAGGGTGTTTGACGATAATTATTTTTTTTATTTTTTTTCGGGGTTTAATTCTAAAAAACACGTTTGATCATGAGATTTCGAAAAACGTCATGGACTACAACTTTCTTTGCTTATTTTGGGCTTATATCCAGCCCAAAACCAATATACTTATTAATTAAGTCCAAAAACTATTTTATTCCCTTCTTATTATCTTCTACAGAGTGATAGAGTGTGCGCCTAGGAAGATGGTATTTTGCAGATAACCTGTTTGATTAAATTCCCCAAAGAGCGAGGCACCAAAATGTCCATTTTAGAGAAATGGGTCTGCTTTGATTTCTCTTAGCAAGTTAAAAAAACTAGCCTTAAAGAATGACAACAATGGCTTTGAGTAATGTTTGTTCGCTAAAAATCAAGACTTGTGAGCTCTTTGGAATTTGTATAAATCACTCATATACCACTCTTCCTATCCAAATTAAAAGTAAGTTTTAATGGTCAATTGCTCTAAAGTTTCTAGTTTTACTAGATAATAATGTCTTTTGGTATTGGAAATTTGTTCTGCTTTGTACTTAGCTTTGTATATTATACTTTGTAGGGTTAGACATGAAGCCATTAGTAATTCAAGCTACAGCTAAAGCTAAATCTCGGACTGAGAGTGCTAAACTTCGAAATAGGCGAATTCGAAAGAAGGTATGTGACATTTGTTAAAATTATGGCTCTTGATATTTCTGCCCAGCAAAATAATGTTGAGTGTCAAATTTGAGATATGATAAGCTAATTAATGTAGCCACATTTCTGTGTTATAACTTCAGCTTACTAAGGACCCTAGATAGGAAGGTAGGAAGGTCGGTAGGTAGCTGAGTGTGGCCGCATGTTAGGTGTGAGAAGCCAGGGGGCTAGCCCTATTTCCTCTTCTCCTTATTAGTAGTAGTGTTTAGTAATCGCGTAGTTTCTTTTCTTTAATGTGTTTCAACTATCTATTGCTTCATTTTGCTTTGTATCATGTCATTTTTACTTCTTGCAACCCTTCTCTGAATAACTTCTCTATTGAGCCGAGAGTCTATTGGAAACAACCTCTCTACACTCATAAAGATAGGGTGGTCTGTGTACATCTTATCCTCCCTAATCTCTATTTCTAGAATTACACTAGGTATGTTGTTGTTGTTAAGTAATGGTAGTGCAGAAGATTGGTGCTGATGTATTTTATTGCAATATTTTGGTGTTCGGATAGAAAGAAGAAACTAATTTATGTAACTTGGCTTTAAGATCGTACAATGTTGAGCACAGATTGATCGTTTCTGCTTAGAAACAGAACAAGCGTACATAATTGAAGAAGGTAAATGCAAAGAATTTATTGGTTTCTTGTCATATTTGTATAGGAGTAGCCAGCAATGACTTCAACTTTCTTACCTAATGGATTACTATTTAATGCTTTCACCCGTTGCATAAAGACCATCAGGGCTTCGACAACATGGCTCTTCTATAAGGACACTCATATGTCATATTACCTACACCATGACATTTAAAACATTGCATATCTCCATATCTAGTAGGAATAGGTGATTTGTACCTTTGCTCTTGCTTCACATCTTTGGACATGTTCCAAGATGTCTTGAAACGTCATTTGGTGTGTTCTGTATTTGTAAGTTTGTTTCTCCTTGACTCCTCGTTCTTGATCTACTTTCCATCTTCGTTCCCGAATGCAATGTTTAATCTTAATTGTTCTCTAAAATCATTTCATGGACTCGCTCGCTCACTCACTCAATCACAACAAAAAAAGCATATATGTGTAAGTTTATTGATTTACTTTAATCATTTAAACTTTTTATTTGGTCTTTGGCAGTTTAATGGCACTCCTGAAAAACCAAGACTTTCAGTCTTCTTCTCAGAAAAACAGTTGTATGCTACACTGATAGATGACCAGAACAAGAAGTGCTTGTTTTACGGAAGCACTTTGCAAAAATCAATCCGCGGTGATCCACCTTGCAGCACCATAGTAAGTATCTACAGCACATTGAGACCGTAATTTTGTAGTGTTATGCAAATTTCTACGTTTCTTGTTACGACAGTTATGGGATTTTCAAGTCTTGGCATTATTCCCTAACTTTGTCCCTCTCGATCACAGGAAGCAGCAGAACGTGTTGGTGAGCAACTAGTGCAGACTTGTGTTGATCTCAACATCGATGAAATTTCATCTTATGATCGAAATGGTTTTGCTCGAGGAGAAAGAATGCAAGCCTTTGAGATTGCCATTTCTCGACATGGTTTCCTGTTCAAATAGTTCTTCCTTATTTTCTATGTGCATTTTGTATAGCCTTTAAGATTCTGGAGCTCTAACCTTTTACAAAAGTAGTATATCATCGCAGTGGCAAAATAATTCAAAATTTAGACGAGTGAGTTATGATGTAAATCTAAATTCCATCTATACTTGGTTTTTGGCACATGCATATACATTTCAATCTCAAAAATTGTTGGATCCGCTACTAATCATGTGTGTGAACCGTGACCTAGTGGTCAATAAAGTAGATTGAGAACCTGAAATATCAAGTTCAAGTCTTAGAAGAAACAAAACCACTAGATGAGTTTGTTAGATAGAGTAATCTTATATTTGTTGTTTTATCAGATTATAGTTTGTTGTTGTACAATTTAAGATATTTTTATTTTTATTTGCTCTAGACGTATAGTCAAAATTCGAAGTTCTATTTTCCTTTTGTCTAACCAATTTTGAATAATTCATTATCTGAATAAGAAAATAGAGGGAAGGAAAAATCAATTGCCTGTTTTAAAAAATAACAGTAATTTATTACAAGCTCTGTGATGATCAGAAAATACTTAGTTCTCTCTAACTCTTATTTTCTTCATGTTTGTTAGGTAGCAGAAGTTAGGTACTTTATTAGGATTAGTAAGGTAAGGTCTAACGCCCCTTGCTTGTACTTGTCCATATTGATATTTTTTATGTTTAATAAAAAACCGCTAGACACTGTTTAGTGGTAAATTTGTTCAAAAAAATAAAATAGAAAAATCGTCTCTGCTGCGACTCATAAACATTTTTTATATTGGCCAAACACCTTATATTTTCAAAAGAAAAATATTTCTTTTATTTCAAAAATTTCAAAAAAGTGCTTTCCGGTTGACGTTTTTAAACTGCTTAGTATTTTAACTGACACTGATAAATTTTAACTATGAAGAATACAGTTATAAGTAGTTTCAAATTCAAACATTTAAACTGCTTGCGATAATTGTTAGATAAATACAAATTTACGCAAGTTTTAAAAAATAAAAAATAAAAAATAAAAAGATGAAAAGGAGTGCTTGCTATTATCAAGGAGTCATAAAACGTATATTTAGTTGCTACAAATAAGGGGCTTTTTATTTTTTTATTTTATAGTATATATATATATATATATATTTGTGCTACAAATAAGTATCATTCTTATCTATATTTAAAACAGCCTATTTAAAGTTAAATTGTCATTGATAAATTTTACTCTAGTTTAAAAACATGAAAATACTTAGTTGGTAACTCAATTTTTATATTCACGACAATTTTTAAAAAATATTTTAAGAATACATTTCACTCATGTTGAAAAATTAGGTGTATTTAAGTCCAGTTAATTAAGTAAATAGATATTTTAAAAATTGTCATCAGTTCAAAGATAAAATTAATAATTCACAAGTTTTAAGGGAAATTTTCAGTACTTCTCACTAATCGAAAAGATTTAGAGGTAAAATCAACATGGGACGTTTTTTTTTGTTTATTTAATTTTCTTAAAAAGGAAAAGTTAATAAATGGAGTTAAGTATTGAAGGATCCATTCAAATATTTTCACATTTTTTTTTATAAATAGCAAAAAAAAAATAAAAAAAAATTAATTATTGAAAAGCTTTATAGATCGTGCAGAAGTGGGTGTGTATTGGGCAGTTTTTAAACAACCATTTAAATTAAATTAAAATAGTAATAATTAATTAAAAAAAAATTATAGAAAAATACATGAAATTTTTTGTATATAGATAGAAGATTCAAAACATTTGTAAGTGCATTTACGTAACCAAAACTATAAATAAACCAACAAAACTTCATTCCTATTTCTTCATTCAAATATTACAAAATTAATTATTGAAAAGCCTTATTGATCGTGCATTGGGCAGTTTTTAAACAACCATTTAAATTAAATTAAAATAGTAATAATTAATATAAAAAAAAGTCTAGAAAAATACATGAAATTTTTTGTTTATAGATAGAAGATTCAAAACATTTGTAAGTGCATTTACGTAACCAAAACTATAAATAAACCAACAAAACTTCATTCCTATTTCTTCATTCAAAACTTTCTACCATTTTCTCAATCAAAAAACACAAAAATGGAGCAAACTAATGAAGGAATTGGAATAAAAATGTACAGTACATCGAAACGCGTCGATAATTCATCTTCTATGTATCCTACTAATTTACCACAAGATGATACAATCCCAGAATTACCAATTGGTGGCAGAAAAAGAAGAGCAATGGCAAATGGTGTACAAAAAACACTTTCAAAAACTTCATTACTTGTTAATTTTCTACCAACAGGCACACTTTTAACATTTGAAATGTTACTTCCATCAGTATTTGGTAAAGGAGATTGTTCACCAATTACTACATTTATGATTTTAACATTACTTGGACTTTGTACTTTGTCATGTTTTTTCTTTCATTTTACCGATAGTTTTCGAGGTCCTGATGGCAAAATTTACTATGGTTTTGTTACACCAAGAGGTTTGAAAGTTTTCAAGACTGGACTTGGTGTTGATGTGCCAAAAGATGAAAGGTAAATTTTTACGTTGGTTTTGTAAATCGCCCTTGACCACGAACACTATTTTAGAGATTTGTGATGGAATATTTTTTACTAAAGAGTTTCATTTATAAAATTGTGAAAATTTTATGATTGTTACAAAAGATAGAAAGGTAACTTTAAGTGATGATTTTAGCAATATTTGTGTGTGTGTGTGAGACGTAAATCGCTCTTGCACATGAAACACTATTTTTCTATGAGAAAAGAGAAAAATATAGATTTGTGATGTAATTTTTTTGACTACAGAGTTTCTTTGACAAAAGATGAAAGGTAACTTTTAGTGATGGTATTTGCAATATTTGTGTGTGTGAAACGTAAATCGTCCTTGGCCATAAACACTATTTTTCTATGAGAAAAGAGAAAAATATAAATTCGTGATGGAATATTTTTCATTTTACAAAATTATGAAAACTTTATGATTGTGACAATAGATAGAAAGGTAACTTTTAGTGATGATTTTTTAAATGTTTATGTGTGTGAGATGTAAAATCGCCTTTGGCAATGAATACTATTTTCTATGAGAAAAGAGAAAATACACAGATTTGTGACGAAATATTTTTGACTAAAGATTTTCATCCACATGATTATGAAAAATTTATGATTGTGACAAAAGATTGTTTTCCGTCACAAAATTTGTGACAGTTCTATGGTTGAAACAAAATAGAAAGATTTTTACAAAATTGTGACAGTTTTATTCCAGAAGTTATCAATATACACGAAAATTGTGACAGTTTTTTTTTCTTCCAACACAAATTAGAACGTCACGTTCTAATTTGTGATGGATTCTTCTTCCGTCACAAATATTGTCTATTTTATACAGCTATTCGATTTCACGTCTCAAAGTCATTATTTTACCATAAAATGTGACAGTTTTATGACAAAATCTTCAATATTGTGGACAAAATTCATAATGTTTTTGTAATTCCATCACAAATTTTGTGACCTTCTATGTTTATGACTGATTCTTACAAATACTGTGTTTTTTTTAATATAGCTAGTCGATTTCACACCTCAAAGTCGTTTTTTCACCATAAAACATGACAGTTTTTATATAATTAGTCGATTTCACGTCTCAAAGTCATTGTTTCACCATAAAACATGACAGTTTTAGGGAAAAATTTCCAATATTGTGGACGAAATTCGTTATATTTTATAATTCCAAATGTTGTGCATGTTTTTTTTATAATAATTTAGTGTGTTGACATTGTTACCTCTTTTTTTTGTTGGTTGGTTGTACTAGGTACATTGTGGGATTGACAGATTTTGTACATGCAATGATGTCTGTTTTGGTGTTTGTGGCAATTGCATTTTCTGATCATAGAGTGACACTTTGTCTATTTCCTGGACATGCTAAAGAACTTGATGAAATTATGAGGAGTTTTCCATTAATGGTTGGAGTTATTTGTAGTGGACTTTTTCTTGTTTTTCCTAATTCTAGATATGGTGTTGGGTGTATGTCTGCTTAGCTATTTTTATTTTATTCTACACTAGACTACATTTCTTTTCTAGTTTTATAAAGTTTCATATATATTGTAATTTAAGTTGATTGATATTTATTTAAATCTATCTATCTAGTATCGAACTGTAATGATTTGTAATGTACGTAGTTTTACTTTGTATTACTGTAAGAGACTATTTTCATGACTTCATGACCTTCGTTACATAGTAATAACTTTATTGGTGTTATATAGTAGTTAGGGGTGTATAAAATCGAACCGAAAACCGAATCAAACCGCAAACCGAGTCAAACCGGAAAGAGAATCCAACTTGTGGTTTGGTTTGACTTGGTTTGGTATTGGAAAAAAAAACCCAACTATACTTGGGTTGGTTTGGTTTTAACTAAAAAAAGTCAACCCGAGACCAAACCAACCCGACATTATATATATAATTTTTAAAATTTATTTTATATATAAAAATATTTACTTTGATGTAATTTCTAAATATTACTTATACGTTTTCATAATTTTTATCTTTTAACGTATTTTTTCAAGTTTTTTGAGACTTAGATTTTGAATGGTCCAATAAAAGTTATAACTCATAGATATTAGTAACTCTAGTAAAGCTCAAATATGTCATCGAATTTTCAGAAAAAGCTTATTTATGTCATCCGTTAAAAGTTTGGTTCATCTAAGCCATTACCGTTTAAGAAAAAGCTCATTTATGCCATTATTTTTTAACAGTAGTTTTGCAAAACTATTTTTTACACATGGTCAATTATAATTCGGCCACATCATTATTATCCTACCTTAAAAAGCTGCTAACTTTGTGCTTTTCTGAAAATTGGTTTTAATAACTTGGACGTATCTGAAATTATTTATAAATTTTCAGTTATAATTTCAAAAATTGAAATACTTTTTAAGTACAACATTTATGACTTAAGTAATTCTTTACCTCTTTTGATATTTCTATTCTACTAGGCTCATAATATGGTAGATATCCATCATTTTTTTTAGTTATAAAAGTTAGCAGCTTATTAAGAAACCTCTTTACAAGATCAGTAAATCCTTATAGAAGTGAA